GCATCGGGTCACCGAGCCCTGCAGGGTAGTAACTCCAGGACACTGGGCCCACTAACAGGGCTAAGGCGCCCAAAAGCCGTATTACCTCAAGTTCTCCTCCTCCTCCTCCTCCTCCTCCTCCTCCTCCTCCTCCTCCGCCTCCTTCTCCTCCTCCTCCTCCCCCTCACTCGCTCCATTTCCCTCCCTCCCTCCTCCCTCCCTGCCTCCTCCCCGCCTCCGTCCTCCCTCCCCCTTCCGTTCCCACCCTCCTGTCCCTCACATGGCCTCGAACTGGATCAGCCCCTTTATGAGCCCGTTGACGTGGCGGTTCAGAAGCCCGGTGAGCTTGGCGATCTGCTGGCTCTGCAGCTCTTCGCCTCGCCCGGGCGGGTGGCCCGACACGACACCGCTGGACAGCTTGCCTGGCGTACAAAGAACGGACGTCAGTTGTATATATACAGGTGTACATATACATATGCATATGCATATGCATACACATATACATGTACATGTCCACAAACATACACATACACCTACACATACACATGCACGTACATAAGCACATACACATATACATGTACATACAGATAAACATGTACATATGCGTACGCATACACATACAATTACACAGGCACCTATACATACAGATACACATATACATATACAGGTACATATATGCGTATGCATATATATATATATATATATATATATATATATACATACATACATACATACATACATACGTATACATATACATATACATATACATATACATATACATATACATATACATATATATACAAATACACCTACATATACACATACATATACACATACACATACATATATATACATATATATGTATATATGTATATATTTATATATATATATATATATACATATACATGGACCTATACATATGCATATACCTATACATATACATACACATATGCATAACCATATACATATACATATACATATACATGTACATATACATAAAGATATGTATAGACTTGTGCGTATACATATACACATCCCTGTATATGTACATATACGTATACATAAGCATATACGTATACATACACATAAACATAAAGATATACATAGACATATGCATATACATAGCCAGATACATATGCATATGCATATCCAGAAACATATGCATATACATTTGCACCGAAATAGACATGTACATCAACATGAACATATGCATATATAGGTGCTGTTGTATTTTTCTCGTGGAGACAATATCTGCTACAAGGTGCCACGCGTCGACGCGACTCGGCGCCAGTCGATCGAAACACAGAGCAAGTCGAGAGCCGTGCGACTAGGACGGACCCCGCTCAAGACATCCCGAATGAGACGGGCCAGGGAGGGGGGGGGCGAGAGAAGAGAGGCTTGAGCATAGATTATGGCAACAAGGAGACATCACCCGAAGCAATACCCCTCACCTCCCCGCGCAAGCACACACAGGTGCTGTTGCATTTTTCTCGTGGAGACAATATCTGCTACAAGGTGCTACGCGTCGACGCGACTCGGCGCCAGTCGATCGAAACACAAAACAAGTCGAGAGCCGTGCGACTAGGACGGCTCCCGCTCAAGACATCCCAAACCCGAAGAGGGCTACCCGAGCCCTGAAGGTTCCCAGGGACGGGCGGGACAGGGCACCAAAAAGCGAGACAAAGACGAGCCAAAAACACACAGCGCCGGCGGGGCAGAAGGCCGGCGTCAGCCAGACACTAGGGAGGCAACTCGATCACGCTCATGGGACAACAGCGTTTGGACCATGGCTTTACACAAGCTGGGGGGGTAAGAAGCTGCTATTGCCGTCCACTTCACACCAGATGGAGCAGCCCCTTCCAGTACGAAGTGTCTTCTACCAGTGCGACTGCACACCCCCGAGCCCCCTTTGCACCTTCGATCGAATTTCAGTGTATCGGACGCGTCAATAAAAAAGAATGCAAGATTTGTGCGTTTACGCCAACAACGTCCGAACTGACACTGGTCAAAAGTCCCAGTGTGGCCATGGAACCTTCTGAGGAGATCAATGAGCTCGGGGGTATGCCAAATTCTCGAATTCACGGGATGCTCTAGAATCGTTGGAACCTGACATTTACACAACACACGTAAAAGTTGTAGAGCACACCGAAAGATATTGTTGCCGCGCTCTAAGCGCTCACACTGACGCTTTGTCAACTCGTTAGCATCGAGACCCCGCGGCTGCTCTTTCGAACGGATAGGGCCGTCTTTGCCCCTGTCCGCCGCTCCACCCCAGGCATCGCACGGTGGGCCCATGACCGCGCCTATCACTTCCTTCCGTTTGACTGCCGCAGTCACACATTTGATCACTCTGGGCACCGTCAAGTCCTCGCTGGGCCCATGGGCCCGATCATACGCATGAGCATTGCAACCTTGCTGGACAGCGGCCCGCGCGACGCCACCAGTCCCCGCATAAAGGTCGAGGATGTAGCGACTCTTGAAATGCCCCGCCAATGGGGCGCCACGCCGTGCGGTCTGCCGGGGGGTACGTCCTCGAGCGCTGCTCCGCATGCCTCCAGCAGCTGGGATCTCCTGCCTGGGAGCAGCTCCCAGCTCCTCGCCAACCTGACGTCCTCGTCGTACCGCTGGACACTCATGATGCTTCCACCCTGTCCGCGACGCTGGGCCTCCGGCCCCGTCCGATGCTGCCCGAAGATGTCGATCGACGGTCCCACGTGCCGCCTCGGGTGCTGCACTATCGTCTCTGCGATGCTCGGCTCGTCCCGCGAAAAGTTCGGCTTCCGGGGACTCTGGAGACACGCGACGTCCGAACCACCTCGTCCTTCGGCCCATCGGCCATCACTCTCTGGACGGGCCTTATGAACCGCAAGAGCGGCGAGCCCCTCTCGATGCTGACGTCGCCGCGGGTAGTACTGCTCCGCTCGATCCGCTGTGAGAAGGAGAACAGCAGGCTCCAGGAAAGGGAGATGCCACCTGCAGGCGCAATCGTGCCACGCCTTGAGACTCATCAGCTTGCTCGGCCCCCAGCGGCTGCCGAGCGAGACCGACCGCAGGACCGAGGCCTGCAGAGGGAAAAGGCCAGCCAACATCCTGGCCACTCCAGCCCACACCGTCAGAGACCAGCTGCGCCAGCTGCGGCCGGGGGCCCCCTGCCGCCAGCCCCTCCGGCAGCGGCAGGCCTGGGGGAGCCCGCAGCGGCCAGCCCTCGAGAGCTCCGCCGTCGAAAACATCAGGCCTGCAAAGATCTAAATGCCCTCGCTGGCGCCCCGGCCCATGAAGAGGAGCAAACCGAGGCACTCCATTCGCATGCCGTCGACCAGCTCGCCGTGCACTCGCGGGCGCTCTCCCTCCGAAGAGTCGAAGCCCGCCGACCGGCTCCGGCATCGCCCCAGCACCTCCAGCGCCACCGAGCTCTCGCTGGGGGAGCGCTGGGCGCCCCTGGCCGCGGCCGTCAGGACGGTGATCACCTGCTCTCGTTCTCTCTGGCGGCCCGTGCGCTTCCGCGCTGCTCCCAGCGCGGCGCCAGGCCCTGGCCCCCCCTCGCCGCTGGTGCTGCTGCTCTCGCCGACGTCTGCCAGCCTGGGCGCGGGCTTCAGGCGATCCTCGTTGTCGGAGGGAGCCCTTCCGTGGCGCCTGCCACTCAGCCTGCCGCGCAGCGCCGGCTGGACGCCTGGTGGCCGCAAGGTGGCCTTCCTCTGGCTGGCCAGCGTCTCGAGCCCCAGCTGGCCCTCGCTCGGCCGAGCCTCCGACGACGGCAGCATCGCCTACCGCCTGCGGCGGCCCATCGACTCTCTGGCTCGTGAAATCTGGATGATCACAGAAAGTACGTGGTAAACATGGAGGAAAATGTCTACGTAACGGGAGAGGGGAGAGACAGAAGCAGCAGCAGCTACTTCACACAGGTTCGGGGATTGCGGGTATTTCGAAGTCTCCTTTAAATTGTTGCCTTTGGCACTCAAATATCATCCACTAACGTCTTACTGGCGATGCTATTCTCAAAAAACCTAGCACCCTTATCCGAGAAATTCAATTCGGAAGGGATCCAACGCACAGCCCCTAAGACATTCCTGGCCAAGCAGCGAGCCTGGAAGACGCGAATCTGAACGAGAAGCAGAAAGTTTGTGGCACGACTACGGCCGAAGGCGAGGGTGACCGACATACTGTCACACAACAAAAGCTGCCTCATATCACACACTCGCGAGCTAGTTTTGACCAGAGCACGAGCCTCCTTCACCAGAATTCCCTCAGAACGTTGCCACTTTTGCGCTCTCACCAGTCGCCGCAAAACTGACTTCAGATGATTAGCGGGCACCTCGGGAAAAGACTGGTCCACTTCCCAATATGACGCCTCCTCGGAAGCACCACTCTCCCCATCAAACCCTTCGGCGGCTGCGACTGCCCAGCTTCCGTCCGCCTTCCGACAGAAGCCCGCCGTCTCGAGGACGCTCTCTCGAGCCCGATGGGAGCCCACTCGGCGGAAGCGTTGGCGCTCAGAGGTGCGACCCACCTCGCGCGCGGCCTGAAAAGGCCAGAGCGCCTGCGCCACCGCGCACCCCTCAAGGCTGCTGTCGGTCTGGACCACCAGGTCGTTCCAGCTTCGGAGCCAGTCACTGAACATGAAGATCATTAGCGACCTGAAGGCCTGTAATTCGGAGCGGCACTCGCCCCACAGCGGCTCTGCCCGTCCTGAGGCGCGGCCCCGCCCCACGAAGGCATACACCAAATGGAAAACACTGAGCAGGCCTCGGCAGCACAAGGCGGCAAACGTGCAGCGCCCCAAGACGACCTCGAGCGCCCACGCGCTGGCCCGCCGGCGCCGCAGCAGCGCACCCAAAGCCTGGTATATGCTCCAGAATCGCTCGGGCGTAACGCGCGCCCGCAGCGCCGCACCGTCGAGCTCCGCGCCGAGCGCGACGATGCCGCCGCGCGAGCGCTCCGACTTGTGCAGCAGCAGCCCCTCGCGGTTGAAGCCCTCCTCCAGCTGCTCGAGCGCGTCGCCAACTGCGGCCTCACAGACACCTATCACTCCGAGGTTGTCTACATACACACAGTGGCTAAGCGCGTCGCATTCCTCCCCCAGGGCAGGTCTCACCACCAGCGGCGGTCCGCGATCGCGCAGAGGGGATCCAGGCAGAGAGGGTGTCACCTTGGTCGCGGTGGTCTCGTTGATCATCTGAGCGATCCATAGGCTCCAGGTGAAGCCCATGGGGAGCACATCCCAGCACGGCGTTACTGCCTCCGCGCGGCCAAGAACACGCCCGTTAACCTCCGCGCCCGCCGCGCCCATCACGTGAGCCGGCGCAGGAGGGAGGCAGAAATAGTCCGACAGCCAAGCCGGCACGCGCAACCTGTGGAAACAGTTCGAGACGTCCGAGAGGCCGATCGAGAGGCAGAAGTCCTCCAACAACTTTGCGGCCTGTTCGGACCCCAGCGGCGCGCTAGCGGGCAGCTCCACCTCTATTCTCGACAGGCCCTCCGAACTCAGGAGCGACACCCCGGGCGGCGCCTGAAAGCACTCATTGGCCCGCCTGGCGTCGACGATCAACCTCTGGGCTGCACCGCCATCCTTCTCCACCGCGAAGAGACCCACATTGCACTTCGGGGAACTGGCCCAAGTAATGATGCCAATGTCCGCCAAACGGGAGGAGAGGAGCCGATGATATTCTTTCTGATTAAAACGTAGCTTGGGATCGAAGTAGGGGACCGTCTCGTATTTCTCAACGGGCGGCGCCAGCATGCGCTCGTGATAGTCCACCAGAAATCCGATAACCTCTGAGGGCGCCACGCCCGTGATCAGTGGACACCCTCGGACAGAGCCAGGGAGGCTCAGGAGGTCGAGCTTGAAGGACGTGACCCTTGTCGGACACCCCGCAGCCTGATATGGGGAATGTCCTTGAAGCAACTTCTTGAGTGCCGCCTCGTCGCTGTGAGGCGGAGGGCGCGGGTACCAGCTATCAACCAACTCACGCACCCTCCGCTGGGCGTCCGCCTGCATGTCATCGGGCAGGCCGTCCGGGCCGCGATTCGCCCACAAAAACTCCTTCCAGCCTGCCATCCAGTTCAGTGCTTTCAGCGCGTCGTTCACCATCACAAGGCGATCACTGCCGCGCCCCCGGCGCACCGAATCCAACGGCACCAGAGGGAGCGGAAAGAGGCTTCGCTGCCCCCGCGAGGCCGCCAGTCTGGGGCGGCCGCCAGCCCCAGGGTCGGGGGACCCCCTGGCCGGCGGAGCCGTCATGGGCCCCAGGGGGTGTCGACACCGCGGCTTCGGCCTCTGCTGCCGTCACCGCGTCCGCGACCACCCCCGCCTCCCGTGCCCTCGCTTACAGCGCTGCTGCCCACGCTGCCGCCGCCGCCGCCTGCGCCTGGGCCGCCTGCCAACCCGCGAGAGGGGGTTCCGCAGCGGGCCTGCAAGCCCTCGCAATCCTCGTGCAGCCTGCGTGCCACAGGGACCCACGTCACTGAGCCTGCAGCGACCTCGGTGGGCTGCACGTCAGCGTAGTACTTCGCCACCTCCCACGGCACGACGTGCGGATGAGCGTGAGCCGCCACGAAGCTTACCAGTCGCTCACGCCAAACTTCCAGCGCCGTCAGAGCACCCAGACTCACCTGGTCGCAGCCGTACGCCAGATACCCTTCCTCGCATATACAACGTGACACGTGGGCGGCACGATCCGTGGTGGCCAAACCCATCTCTCGAAGGTACTCATCGAGCCACAACCGCGAATCGCCGCCTACCTCGACAGGAAGATGCACCACTCTGGCGGACACGGTGTCGTCCGAATAGCCCTGGCAGCCATCGTCCTGGAAGTACTCATCGCCGTCTGACCCACCGATCCACCAAACGTCATCGCCGAGAAGATGGAGCAAACTGCTCTTGTGATCTACGCCGTCGCCGTCGTACTCCACGGCCCCGAACTGGCCGAAAACCAGCTCACTGTACCACTCCGCCTCCACGTCGAGCGGGAGGCGCGCCATGCCTAACCGCAGCGGATCGGCCTCGCACGCAACAGCGGCCCACCACGACGCCCAAGAGGTTGGTGAGCACGGGCGGTAGCAGCAGCCACACAGCCTGCTCCTCCGGCGACGGGCCCTGCAGCTCCACCTGCGGGCAGACGCAGGCCGGACAGGCTGGGCACTGGGGCACCACTGGGCACACCGCCTCCAGCCAGGCGGGCGAGCCCTCGGGATCGCCACCGCCCAGCACCGCGTCGGCGTCGGGCTGCGGCGGCGGGGGCGGCGGCCCGCCAACACCCAGCAGACCCTCGGGCAGCAGGCCGACCTCGGCGGCGCGCCAGCCAGCCCAGGCGAGGGCCACCGCGAGGACCGCGATCGGGGGCCGGCCGTCGGCAGGTCCCATGGGCGCCTCTGACGAGAGAAGAGAGGCTTGAGCATAGATTATGGCAACAAGGAGACATCACCCGAAGCAATACCCCTCACCTTCCCGTGCAAGCACACACAGACACGTACATGTACATATGCATATACATTTTTTCCTGCGCGAAGCCCGCCCGATCCGCTGACCCTCAAGAGGGCTATCATCCCGCGCCCACGCAACGAACGAAACAGGATACCTCGCATATCAGCTGGCAACATCGCCTCGCAGCGGGCGCCCTGCGCGGGCTGATGGCGGCAAAGCCTCGCAGCGGGCGCCATGCGCGAGCTGGTGGCAGAGAGGCTTCGACCCACGACGCTCCCAAGAGCATCAATGGAAAGTGCATCGTTTTAGCGTTAACGGAAACGGAAGACGGAAGAAAAGAAAAGGACCCGGGAAAACGGCGGGCGGCCGAAAAGGACCCAGGAGGACGGCGGGCGGACGAAGAAACGGAAGGCGCTCGAGAGCAGCCGAACTGCACAGGCAGTGAAACGCGAGGAACACGCAGGTATTAGGCTGCGCACAGGACTCACCCCAGTCCAGTACGAATAGCCACGTTGTGAGAATCCCATGGGGCCCAAACGGCCAACACTATAAAATCAAGCACAACGTCAAGAGAGGAGGCCCGGGAGGAGGAGGGAGGAGGGGAGGAAAGGAGGCGGAGGAAGTACTGGACTCTTCAACTCAGAAGCGTTCGTAATTAAAGTGAGCTTGCATTGGATCGTATTTCTGCTGGGCTCCCTGCGGAGCAGGTGGATGGCCGAAAGCCGCAATGGCGAGCAGACCGCTCCAACCAGCACCCCAGGCTTGCGCCCTAGCGCCGACATGCGCCACCAGACCCTCGGGGGCGGCCTCTCACCTCCCAGCCCAGAGCACACGCCCCGGCACCGCCGCTAGCCGGGCAGTAAAGCAGCAACGCAACACTTCACATAACATCAAAACATGCACAGTGCAACATAAACAACAAAGCGTGCGTAAGCATGCAACGTGCACCAAATACAAAAAACGCGTGCAATAAAGCGGGGGGGGGAAGGGAGGGGAGGAAAAGGGGAATGGAACGGCATCCGCTGCCGCACATGTGAATCCGGCACGCGCCGCTCAGCCTGCGGTCGGCGAGCGCCGTACGTCGACCCAGGGAATCCCCTGGGCCTTGCCGCCGCTCTGCACAAGTCATGCGCCCGAGCGTGGAGCATGCGAGCCCCTCGCGAAATTCCCACGCACTGAAATTTCGGACCAGAAATTTCGAGGACTTAAATCACGACCTGGCTCGTAGCGATCTTTCAGCAAGCAACAACGACGGGAGAGACCCCGCAGGGCACAAGGGCGAGCAGGGGGCCCTGCCGAGCCTCGGGAGGCGATCGCGCATGCCCCAACCTCCGCAAGCGGGGGCAGGGAACGCACCACCACCAGCCCGAAGCAGGGAATGGCCCCCCGAGGGGAGGAGGGGACGCCAGCGGCGGAGGAGGAGCGGGAAAGGGCGAGAGGAGCGGAAAAGACGTACGACGGACGACGACGAGCGACAGAAACGACAGCAGGAGGGATCGCATTTCCAAGTCATCGGGCAGCAACACGCGACGGCTGGGTTTGAATCGCCTGGAACGGAAAATAGCACCAGAATGTTCCGGGAGGCGCTCCCCGGAACGTTCTGAGCACAAAGCGGGGGAGGGAAAGAAGAGGAGGGGGAGGAGGGGAGGAGGGAGGAAGGAGAGGGGCGACTGCGCGCTTGCACCGAGCGCTCCGGCCTCGAAGTAGCCAGCCGACCTGGACAAAGAATACGGAAACACTATCGGCCACGCGGCCGGGACAACGAAACGGCCATCCGTGACAATTATTGCCCGGGCGCCGGGCCGGAAATGTGACTTAAGACCGGCTTTTTGTCCATTGGCACCGTGCCACAACAGGGAAGGGGAGAGGAGGAGAGGGGAGGCCAAGAGGGGAGGGCGAGGGCGACTACGTGCCGGCATTGGCGCCGGGTCTTCAGCCGCAAGCGGATCGACGGGGCCCTCTTGGAGAGATGGCTGGCTTCGCTCCCGGCGCCTTCGGAGGCTGACGGCCCCCGGGGAGACGCTTCCCCAGACCTCCCCCTGCGGCGGCGCCGGGCGCCTCGCAGGCAGCTCTCCCGGAGGCGTTGCGATTGGTCAGCTGGCATCTCGGACGTACTGGCTGCCATCAAACTGTCCAACAACTCGTCCCCGGGCCAGGATGACATCCCTTTCAGCGTCTGGCGTGCCATGGGGAGATTCGGCGCCGACGTGTTGCTGGCCGTGTCGAAACTGATTGAATCCGGGGACGCTGAAGCCGTATTCAACGAAGCCTACTCGGACGAGGTCGACGGCGAGGAGCACAATTTCAATTTATCCACGCTGGTTCGTTTGCCGAAAGAGGCAGTCGGGGAGGACCCTGATCTGGGCGCATATTTCACGGGTGCCGCCACAAGGCCGCTTTCGATTGTCAACAGCAACAACCGCCTCCTGACCAGCGCCATGAGGATCAAGTGGGAACGACAGCTGCAAGGATTTGTTCGCGGCCGCCAGCAAGGGTTTCTGAAGCACCGCTCTATTCTGCGCAATCTGCGTGAAGTGGATACCGCAATGCTGCTCACCGGTCTGGAGGGAGACGAGGGCGCGGCCGTGTTCCTGGATTTCGAGGCGGCGTTCCCGTCCATTGCCCACGAGTACACCGGGCGGGTGTTGCGATGGGCCGGGATCCCGGAGAACGCGCTCAACACTTTCTGGTTTTTCTACACCCAGAGCCGCTGCGTCCTGTCGCTCAAGGGCCATTCCTTCGAGGGCTTCCCGCTTCTGGCGGGAGTGCGGCAGGGCTGCCCGCTGTCGCCGCTGGTGTACGCACTTGTGGCGGAGGTACTTCTGGACAAGCTCGAATTGGATATAGACGACATCCTGGTGCGTGCATATGCGGACGGCACGGTCTTGATCCTGAAGCAGTTCTTGCAATCTCTCCCTCGATTGGAACGTTTCTTCGTGGAGTTCGGCGCCATTTCTGGGCTGCAATTGAATGTTGAATATGCGAAAGTCAGTCGTGGTTCCCTTGACTAGGGCGCCATTGGAACAGGATGTGGCGTCCTTCTTGGATCATGCGACAGCGTGGAAGACATGTCGGTTCAACATTCAGTTAAATACTTGGGGTTCGTCTTGGGGCCTGGCAAGGGCAGCAAAACCTGGCACAAGCCCTTAGCCAAGCTCCACAGGCGAGTTCACATGTGGCAAGACGTTCCGCTTGGACTGCACTGGCAGGCGCGGGTGTTCAACACGTTCATCCTGCCCACGCTCCTGTACGTGGCCCAATTAGAGCGGCCCGACGCGTTCGTGCAGGAGGAGGTGCAAGGGTTCCAGGTGACAGCTGCACCGTCCGCGCTTCTCCACTTGGCCTGCGGACCCACTGCCTGGGCTTCGCCGACAGATCTCTGGCTCCTGCGGGACGCTTACGGCGGGGCTTCGTCCTTCCACAACTTGGCGTGGATGGCCGCGTCTTCGCAGATGCGGGCCCTGCATTACAATAAGGGCATAATTAACCAGCGGCAGTTCAAGGAAGACTATGCTCAGCTACGTCAGGCGTGGGCCAGCGCGGATGCCTTGGATTGGATTGGTTGGTATTCGCGCAGCTTCCTGCTCCGGCTCCAAGATACGAACGACGACTTGCAGGGGCGCTTCGGCGACATGAACGACGTTCGGGCGGCCAGGCGGGCCTCCCCCGTCGCGCCGGCAGACGACGCGATGTGGCGCAAGCAATTCCAATCCACGTACTACGACTGCTACGTGGCGGACAACCTGGGCAACCCGGAAGGCCGCTTCCGGGAAAAGCTGGAGGTCTGGAATTTGGGGGATGCCGGCGTGCATGGGAATCTACCAGGTAATGCTCGCCAGCGGACGCCGCGCGTCCAAGCTTCCAGAGGGCACGCGAACCTGCTGGCCCTGCACCCGCTGGTCCCCCCGAGAGTCCACTGCGCGACTAGGGGATGCATCTGGAACCGCTGGACCACAGCAGCACGTTTCCAGCGCGGTCACCGGAGCCGATGCTTGCTCTGCGGGGTGGAGGGAATTGAGGACAGCATCAAGCACTACAGCCGTTGCTGGGTGGTGCGGAGGTTGATGGGAACCAGACTTCGCCTCAACGCTCAAGTCTTTTCGGGCATGCATGCGTGGATGCTCTGTTCGCCAGTCCTGGAGTCCGAGGAGGACCTGGCCTGCGTGGCCCTGTGCATCTACGCCGTCTATTAGGTCACCAACGCGCTGCGGCACGCCAGCTGCGAAACTCTCCGCACGGAGGAAGACAGATTCCAGGCGCTGGCGCACGCCGTCAAGGAGGGCGTCAAGGGCCACCCACGCGCGACCGCGATCCTGCGGCAACGATGGGCAGACGCTCCGCGGACGGCCATCCGACCGGGACAGGTCGGCACGGCGCGCGTCCGCCGTCTTCGCCAATGGCTGCAGGACCGCCAGAGACGCAGGGTGCGGCCAAGACTTGCCTGAGCCAGGGATCGCTGCCTCTTCCCAGTGTCTCGGCGCAAGAGGGCGTGACGTGACCGGCGCCACATATGCATGCACATATACATATACATATACATACACATATACATATACATATGCATATGTTTGTATATATATGCACACAAACATATACAAGTATATGTACATGTTCGTGTACATATACAACTACATATACCTATAAACATACACATTAACATATTCATGAACAGTTGCATATACATGTACATATGAATATACATATACATATACATGTAAATGCACATAAATATATCCACAAACATATGCATGTACGTAAACATATGACTTAACATATAGATACACATACACACGTACATATACATGTACATGTTCATATGCATATGCATCTACAAATACATATACATATACCTGTACATGGACACATCACATACATATTCATAAACAAATAGACACATACCTACGTGTACAAATGCAAAGCATAAATCGAACACGTGTACA